CTAGTGGAATGAATTAATGGTGAATCTTGCTCTATTTGTCATTCAATATCTCTATTCAATGGAAGTACAAACTGTACAAAGGAAAATAAAAGATTGGCCAACAAAGATAAATAACAGCTCGATCATTTGTTTACCCCTTATTTTTGGTTTTTTTCTGCTTTCATTTACCTATAAGAAGGATCAAGAAATCGAGATTCTATTACGTTATAGTCACTTCGTTTTATCAAGAAACTAAATGAATCATGTTACTGGAAGTCTTTTGATATACATTTGTCTTCAGGACGAGGAAATAGTATTTTGTAAATATCTCTGCACCAAGTATTAGGGGGTAAAGTTCTTAGACAATGACTTCTGACCTTTTCTGGAAAGATGGAAATAGTATTTTGTAAACATCTCTGCATACTCTTTTCCTTTCTTTCCCTAATGTTCTGTGATCCATGTTCATATTACCTCAAGCACATATTAACTTACATACACTTTCTTTATCTAATCTATTTAGTACTATGAGCAGATTAAAGTGACATGCTTCACTATTATCGCAGAGTTTCTCTTCCCAACATTGCATGAGCATTGTGTGTTCTCTTTTACTATATGGAACAATTGACTTATCTAATCATAATTTCAAGCAAGCTTTAACTTAGCATGGAATTGAGGATTATTATATTTCATCGACATAGTTATTTTATAATTTCAGGTCATACAGTCAGATGTTCGATAATTTAGCGGGTGGAAGATTTCAATATCACAAAAAGAGTTGTAGAAACTATTTGAAGATTGTTATTCGTTAAGATTAGTTATATAATGACATTATCTATTTACTTCAAACAATATAAGTTTATCTTTTAAGTTATTGTGATATTAATATTTTGGAATAGTACTTCCTTTTGTTTGTTAAGATTTAACGTGATATATTATGGTTTTATGAATTAATATTAATATGTTTTGTTATTTGCATTATTTTTTGGTCAATAGTAGCTATTATTAATGGTGGCTAAACTTTCCGTAATAGCTTGTGACTTTTAGTGCCAATTTAATAGGATATATTCGCTATAACAATGGACGATAAAAGGACAAATTAAGACGCTTATACATTAGTATTAAAGATGACTTTTAGCGGCAATTTAATTGACTTTATTAGCCATTAAAATGGATGCTAAAGGGGCATCCTAATACGTTTTTATAAGAGATATTGTTGCCACTCTAATTGCCATAAAATAATTACCACTAAAGGTATGGACTTTTAGCGACAAATATTTTAAATTTAGCGGCTATAGAAATGGTCGTTAAAGGAGCATTATTAGCCGTTTTTAGAGTTGGTTTAGCAGCCATAATAATTTCCGCAAACATTTGCCATTAAAGCAAATTAGTTTTAGTGGCAATCAGTCATACCTTTTACCAGCTTTTGTCAGAAACGCCGCTAAAGCCTTTACCGACCCCGGTTTCAGCGGCAAAATACCAATTGCCGGTAAATGATATAGCGACTATTGTAATTGCCGCCAATGTTGTTTTTTATTGCCGCTAAAGTCTCTTTTTGTTGTAGTGTCTTCAGATGGTCATATCTATCTTTCAAATTATTTCATAATATGACTGGATCTTTAACAGTAAGATATTCTATTTTCAAGCCCTCATCAAGGTGATGGCTTAGGAATATCATTGCTTTGGCACGGTCTTAATTTGATGCCTGATTTTTGTCCTTGATGGTGTTTGCCAGACCCATCGCATTAAGATAAATTTCAGCATCAAACACCCAAGATATGTAGCTTTTGCCCGATATATCCAGGGCTACAAATTCAAGTTTAGAAAGATTTAACATTATTTAGAAAAAGAAAGTTCGCACCTCTAATACTTTTAAAGTATTTGCTCGAGATGACAGAGTCTCGTGCTGATAACGTGTTATAAAAAATTATAAAGTAAATAAATCGAAGACAAGTATAGAGAGAGATTGATATATTATTCAACTTCAAACTCATGTACATAATGAACTGAAATCTTTTCTATTTATATAAGAAAGGAAGATGCTCTGTAAGCTGCTACTGCAAGTTACTGTATAAGGTGTTTGTAAGCTCCTACTGTAAGTTGTTGTGTAAGCTTCGTGTAAGTTATTATTGTATCAGATATAGATAATCTTCTACATAGGAGTGCCGAAATGATAAGCTTCTTCAGGAGGCTTATTTCCAATAGAGTTCTAAATATATAAACATATTTACGACGAATTCCAATATGAATAAGTTTCTTCAGGAAGCTTATTTACAACGGAATACTAAATGGACATTCATAATATAATATATTTATAAAAAACTGAGATTTGTTTCTGAACCATCTATATATAGAACCATTAAGCATGTGCAGATGTTACATCTTAGAGACAAATAATGATTACATCCACCATTCTTCAAATCATAAATATATGGTTCATAAATTTTAAAGTATACATATTTATACTAATTAATTAGCACCATTTACCATAAAGAGAAATCAATGAGATTAGTGGGATCCGGTGTCGTTTGTGATAGGAAGGTGTCACTGAGACTTAGAAGTAAGTTTTACAAAGTTATTTTAGACCAGCTATGTTGTATGGCAGAGTATTTGTCAATCAAGAATTCTCATGCTCGAAAAATGAAAATAGCGAAGATGAGAATATTGAGATGGATGTGTTGGCCTAAAAGATATATGATTAATTAGGAACGTAGAGATTCGGGACAAGATGAGAGCGGCCTCCGTGGTTGAAAAGATGAGGGAAGCGCTGCTGAAATAGTTCGGGCATGTGAAGAGTAGATGCACGGAAGCCCAATGAAGAGGTGCAAGAGGTTGGTAATTTGGGGTTATAAAGAGAGGTAGAGGTGGGCACAAAAAGTTATTGAGAAAAAGTGATTAGACTGGACATGACACATCTTCAGTTTACTGAGAATATGATCCTAGATGTATAGAAGGATATGGAGGGCGAGGATTAGAGTAGAAGGTAATTAGTAGGTAGTCGAGCTTGGGACACCGTATATGTCCCGTATTTTTCATATCAATATTATTATTATTATTATCATTACCGTATTATCTTATTCTTCGATTTTTATTACTACCTGTTGTTTCTCTTGCTTCGATTTCTTTTATTGATTTGTTGTTTTATTGTTGTCACTATTCTTGTCTTTGTATTGTTTTCAAAATGACTTCTTCACTACTGCTTTTCTTTTTCAAACCTGCTGAGTAATGATTTTGTTTAGTCGAGGGTCTATCAAAAATAGCCTCTTTACCTCCCGGGTAGGGTAAAATTTGCATACACATAACCTTTGTCGGATCTCATACTATGGGAATACAGTGATGTTGTTGTTATTGTTGCAGCGGGTTCTATTTCTGCTAATTTTTAAACTTGAATCTGATTCCAACTCTAGCAACATTTTTTTGTCACTTTCACAACGAACCGAGATTGCGAAACTATAATAGCATAATTAAGTTGATTAGGCTCACTGTTTCATTAACAGGAAGTTCTCCACTTCTCCGGCTCTCATTTTACATAACAATTTATGATGTCTGGTGTGCAAGATCCTGAATTCTCATTCATAACAATATATATTAAAATTTCAAGTTCAAACGAAAAGATTTGATGTACAAGTGGAAAGTTGATTTTCAAAAGGAATCTAACTCAACTCACGAGTTGTTGTTTCAAGTCTATTTCTGAAAACAAGATCTACTGAATTACATGTGAAGTAAAAGAGTGTTTATACTCTACCATGATCAAAATGCATAGGCCTTTTCACCACCCGTTATTTTTCCGTTCCAACCACAATATCGAGTTTAAGTTCTCTGTACTAAAATATGCAAATATTGATTGATAACCTAATAAAATGGTCTCTTTTCATCTTTATACTCAAAATTGCATTTTGATGTGGCTCTAAAGGATGGACCGGGAAGTACGTGGATAATGGATTAGGCACCAATCACGAATGATTAATAAATGAGTTAAAAATTGGAGTAACAAATAAATAACTCATCAGTACATGATAATAAATAAAAATGGAGATCAATTTCTAGTGATTACATATAATTATTCCTTCTCTTTTCGAACATATATATAGAGAGGGAATATGTTTTTTATTTGTTTGTTCTTCTCTTTTGTTTTTAGTTACACTTCTCATGCCGCACTTTAATGACCAATCAAGATTGTGAAGTACCTACAAGACTTAGATTGTGTGGTTCCTGCCCATCATAATTAATATTTATATTCAACTAATGTTAGGTTAAATAATTAAAGTTCACTTTGGGTTGGTGAAAAATTAGCGTTCAGCTGTTTCTTTGATTGGTATGTTGATTAGTGAATGGAGACTAGTGTAAGTATTGGAAGAGAATACTGGCGTCCAGAAAAGATAAAAATACTTACTTAAAAAAAGATAAAAATACATACTTAGAATTTCCTTTAAAAGATTTTTTTTTTTTCAAGAAAGTGAAAAAAGAGAACAAATAGAAAAAAAGTCCCGTTTTCTTTTTGTTATTTTCAAATACTTTTAGAGAGTAACGATGAACCTCGAGTTTTATGAATATTACAATATTTGTGCTAAGTACATATCTACCATTGATGTCCAAACAACAAATGATCAAGATTATTTATCTAACAATTGAAAGATATCTCGTGCAAAGCACGGGCCAAGATGTAGTTCAACTTTTTAGCTTTCCCTTTCCTTCTTTTGTTTAGAAGAAGAGAGAATTTTGCAATCCGGAATCACGTCCTAGTAGGCGTTTGAACATAAAAATTATTAACTTTTGAAAAAAAATAGTATTTAGAGTTAAGTTTAAAAATGGTATTTTAAATTTGAAAGTATATTTGAACATGCATTTCACTTGAAAAAATGTTGAAATTTTGTAAATGAAGAAAAAAAATCAGAAATTTAGAAAAAGTTGTCAAAACCATTTTCTGGTTTTTGAAAACTCATTTCCAAAAATTTTCCATAAACTTGCAAAATTTTATGGACAAACACATTTTTGGAAAAAAAAAATGGAAAAAAGGAAAAATATTTATGGACAAACGGGGCCCTAGTATCTGATTCCACACGAATCACGCAATCAAGAATACATAAATTTGTCTATATATTTATGTACATATGTATGATGATATGGAAACTAAAAGTTCAGTCAGCCTGCAACTGCAATCAATAGCTGAATGGTTAGACGAAAACAACAATGAAGTTATGAAAGAGCAGCTCATTTAGCAATCTGCATTTGCTTGTAATCTACATGCCTGCACGACTTGATGGACTGTAACACATGCGCATAGCCAACAGACAAACTAACCAACACAGCCTTTATTTTCGGTTTAACCTCCGTTATCCAAAGTCCATTGGTCCGACTAATCTGGATTCGATTAAGCTGGATTCGCGCAGAGTCCCAGTAAGGGGAGTAAAGCTCTCCATACCAAAATCAGCACAACTATCTTTCCTGCACAACAGCTAGTCAAGGTTAAATTAAGTGAAATATATAGATTTAGACACTTGAGCTGCCGCATTCAAATGAAAAGTATGTAGCGTCTGGCTCCATGTTTGAGTAACAAGCAAGTGTACTTTTGACACTTGACATGGACATATTTAATCATGAATCCTGGCCTCTATTTCTCATATTTTACGAGCAAGCGAATAGACACAACTGAATGAGGGAATGTTTAAAGAAGGTAAATGCTAAACAAAAAGACAGAAGCTTATGAGACAGACAACAATTGGTAGCAAATCCAAGCGATAAAATGATTGCTGCATTTGTGGTTTCCGTGATTACCTGTGTGAGAGACCCAACTAACATCTTATTACTAATTTAATGTAGTTAGTAAAACTTATTTGATTCCCATAGGAAAATTGTCCTCCTTCAGAGATTGATCTCCCAAACTTCCACTGCACACAAGCTTCCATGGAGATGTTTTACATCAATGAGGCTACTTTGGGCACTTATTTCGAGTTGAGACACAGAAATTAAATCAACAGATTCATAATATTGTTCTGTATTTTAACAGGAGTAACTATTATCGGGCATTCTTGAAGCAAAAGCTGCAGCCCGGGTTAATGTCTTAGCGCCTTTGCTAACCCTGCAAGATATTTATGTTAAATCATTTTCTTTCACTACAATTTTCCATTTCATTCTTTTCTCTATCCCATTCTCCGCACATGGTGACAAATTTGAATATAGAACAAGAGTCAAAAAATCAGTGATTACTTCACATTTGGATTTCCACATCATTCAAGAAATTTCTCTCCAAGAATTATGAATGTACATATTCAACAAAATGGTGAAAAAGAGCAAGTTTTAATTTTTCTTTTTGTGGTGTTTGTCCGAGGAAGACAGGAAGGTTTAGGGACTAAGGCATCATAACTGGGCCAAAAACCCATTGCATAGCACATCTATCTAGGCATTAAAAATTAAAAACACATGCTTGCTTACCAAATTTCGAGCAGGATGTCTTAATCTCATTTCTCGTTTCTTGAAAATACCTTCAGTTCCATGAGGATTTAACAAATCGAAAGATGCATCAGCAGCTAATGTTCTGACCTTGGCTTTCAACAGCTTGTTTACCCTGCAAAGCTGCATGGCTCGCAAGTTGATATATCTTATCAAAATTCCATTGACTCATTGCCTCTTTGTCAAATATGGCATCTGATAGAACAACTGCTGATGCGCCTTGACCAATGTATTGCCCAACCAAATCTGTACCAAAGCACAGCTATCCATCATTTTATTTTTTTTGGGTTGCTCTATCCAGCATTTCTCATAAAATGTTTTAGATAATAAATCTGCTAATAAAGATATGCAAAAGAGATATGACAGATAAAAGAAACAACAGATTCTCCACATAAGACACTTCAGTTATAAATGAAAACTCCAGAAGGTCTAATAAATCAATTCTTTTTTCACATTCTAAATCTGTTCGAAACATAGTAAACTTTGATTTGTGTAATGATTTAAGCACTTTTACACTCTTCTTCATTGTACTTTTTGCTGCCTGGAACTCATTTAAGTTTTCCTTGTTTGATGGAGAGATGGTGGAAGAAGAGCCAAAGGCACCAGCGACATTGCATTATTCCTTTCACTATCAACATATTCTCCCTAAGAATTTTTAAAAATCAAACTTCAGCAAAAACAACATTTCGAATTTCATTAGTATCAACAGGTGAAGCAGATCTTTCAATTCTACTTACAAATTAAAAGCACTGCACAACTTTGAAATGTCCCTAAGATGACATTTTTGAAAATTGGCAGAGGATTAATTTAAATGAAAAGAGTAATAGTTAAAACAAGGGCTTAAACCAAGAAATCTCTATTCAGATAACCAACCTATTGTTACGCCTTGTGATGCAACCATAGGGATATGAGAAAAAGGCCTTTTCAGGGCTGAAATGTACTCAACGCCACCTAATGCAGAGACAGGATAAACCTATGTAAAGGCAAAAAAGAAAGTTTTAAGAGGATCACTACTAACTCAATCGTTTATCAAGCTTCTCTACAGACAATTATATTCATTTCAATCGAAGGAACAAACATCCTGACATACATCACATTTACTTAGCCATTTGACCAATCCTATCTTCTGGGGAATACTTGTACGATTGGTTGAATGAAATATAAGTAAAGATGAGTCTTTTACACAATTCCAACAGCATATACCTGGACTGAAAGTCAAGTTCCTGTGGTTGCCTATATATAACAAATTCCTAGAAACACTAACTACATAGCAAAAGGAGTTTAAACAATAAGCATTATTCATCACATCCTTTCATAGGTTAGCAACACAAGAATCCTACAAGCTATACTGGTATACCATAGAGCAAGGAACAAACCTAAAGAAGTCATGACTCACCTTGACAATCTTGGCACCTGCATTGAAAGCAGATAATATCTGCAGGATCACAAAATAATTGCATTACTCTCTTATGCCGTTATAATCTGAAGATTATTATTACAGGAAGAAATCTTGTAGATACTCAAGAAATAAGCCTGTCCCCATTGTGGGATACAGATGGACACAAAAAATTCAGCACTCGGTTGGGCCTCTGCCCTTTCCCAAGTCCTTGGAGACAAAATCCCGATATCTTTTTCTGTTCTAAGATCACAAGATGAATGAAGACCAAGATTTTCCAGTACCTCCGTGGGGGTCATTACCCCAGGTATATATAGAGCGTCCCTCTCTGAGACACCAACTAGAATATCCTGAGATAAAGAAAAAACATGTAAGTATCAAAGAAAAAGCAGTCTCCAAGGTCACAATCACAACTACCATTTAGGCCTTCATGACTTTGTATATATCCATTAAAGACATTGGCGGGTAACAGGAACTGATCTTTCATATAAGATAGACATTTAAACAGACATTTGGATTTGGCATAATATCTAAAAGGTCGAAACTTTAGTGCATACCATAACTGTAGCAGGACTCATCAGAAACTTAGCTCCAGACTTTATAGAATCTTTGGCATCTTTTGCTTGTAACACTGTTCCAGCCTGCAAACATAGAGAAGTATGTTTACAATAACAATTGGTAGTCTGTCCTTGTTATGTTTTACATACAGTCCACAATACACAAAGTTAACATTATCGTATTAGGATGCTTCTTTGTTGGATAAAGATCTCCATGATACAAGAATGCCCTTACCGTTGGCATACCTGCTTATCCACAGACAATTATCATGCCTCTGGAAAGAATGTCTTGCAAATCAAAAATAAAGAGAATCTACTAAAGAAACTAGAGTTTGCACTTAAACAAAGGGAAAGTTAAAAAAATATCACAATACAGAATCAGGGGAACTAAAAACCTACCAAGAAATAGACTCATTGAGGATCTTGAGGCTGAATTTATGCCACATTTTGATGGGTGATAAAAGGAGGATATGGTAGAGGGAAAGCCAAGGAAGAGTAAGACTTATTTCCCTCCTTGGCGAAGGAGAAGACAAGGCAAAGTAAAGTCGGGGGTGCATTTCAACCCCTCCCCACCCCACCACAAAAGAAAAAAGAAGAAAGAAATTATAATAAAGGATGGAAATGAATGTCTTCTACTTCCTTTCAGCTACAGAAGACACCCAAAAACGGAAGTTCCTCCAAAGAGAGGTAAAGCAACAAGTTCCTATTCTGATTTCCCTTCCCTTTCCTTGAACAAAAAATAGTGCGGATTAATAAAAGAAGCTACTGAATACTTACTCCGAAAGTTTTTGTAGGATAATGATGTACTAGGTTTCTTAACACCTGCACAAAGGAAAAGAAGCACATAAGTTAGCCAAATGTCTACTTCAGTACACCACGAGAGAACACAAGAAACTGCATGTCTCAGAGTACCTCAAAAGCATCTGGAGTGGACACCACAATTTCCAGCTGCAATATTAGAAGACAATGACTATCAGAACACCTCTGAGAAAGAGTAATCACATTCGCATTTAAGGAAAAGAAGAAGTGCGCACTAGCAAGGTATCATGGCATATGGTTCGGTTACCAGAGTTTAAGGTTTTGCTAAGTCCTACCTCTTCTTTAATCTAAAACCTTAAAAGCAACAAGATCTTAATCTTGTGTTTTGTCCCCAAAAAAATGAATTGAAGCCTTTCAATACAAATAAATATAGGGTGGTTTCAATTATATCAACTAATAAATCTAGAATTGGGCATTTAAGCATAAAAAACCACATGGCAGTTGAGATTCATTTTTCCAATTCAGGGCATCTCAAATACAGAAATTAAATTTTAAATCTCAATGAATTTTATTTTTCATAATCCAAGAGAGAAGAAACCTATACATGTATTCAAACAGCTTGAATAACCAATGGTTTAGCAATACTTCATTAAACAAAATTTGGTTTTGTATATGCATAAAGTTTTTAATCTAGCAAACATATCATCCAATATATTATTAGTAGTTGCCCATAATATAATAATCTTTTAGTTACCACTTGTCTAAAAGAAAAATATTAGTCTCATATTCTATAGATCATAGAGATTTTTAACTATCATCTCTAAACCTATATCTGGTTAAACTTGGACAAAGAACTTGGGATAAGTATATCAGATACAAACTTACAACTGATATTCCACCATCCAATGCGGCACGTGCAGCTCGAGTCGCCAGGTCTGCACTAAACAATATGGGGAAAAAATTTTGGAGTGGAAAAATGGAAGTAACAAATTTACTAGAAAGTACTACTCCCTCTTAGATGACTCTTAGATGACGTACTTTCTTTTTTAGTTTGTTCCAAAATAAATGACACATTTCTAAATTTGGAAATAATTCAACTTTAAACTCTTCATTTTACCCATTTTACCCCTTTACGAGAAGCTTTTATAACCACACAAATGTCACGGTGTCACAAAGCTTTTATCCCTAAGCTTTTAATAACACAAGTTTCAAAAGTCTTCTTCCTTTTTTCTTAAACGCCGAGTCAAACTAACTCGTCTAAATTGAAACGGAGGGAATACTTTCATTCAAGATAAACTTTGCAATGACCAAATTATTAGACTCTTCACCAGAAAAGTTACACAATTTATCTCAAAACATAAGCTTTATTTCTCGAAACTGAAACGGAAAGAGGGATGATTAAAAAAAAAAAAAAAAAAAAAAAAAAAAAAAAAAAAAAAAAAAAAAAAAAAAAAAAAAAAAAAAAAAAAAAAAAAAAGGAGAATACAAGAATGGTAAAATGAGTTACTTTTGGGTTCGAAGGCAAGCAATAACACCAGAATTTTGAATTTCCTGCAACGCTTTGTTGGCTATACAATTTGAAGGCACAGAATTTGACTGCTTAACTGAGCTGCTGCAACAACAAGAAAATGGTAATTTGTGACGTTGAGGGAAATATGTAAGAGGTAAACTAAAGCTTGCAACGGCCATGCTTTCAAGACCTGCAATGGAAATTATCTGTGAAGAAAGTTAATGAAATTATAAAGCAAAAGGATAGAGTTTTCACATACGATTCGTTAAAATTCGTGCCAATTTTTGGGTAAATTATTGTACTTATATTTGAAAGAAGTTGACATTACTTTAAATTTAGTTGATGCTTTTTGTAGATGGTTAATAAGAGAGAGTAAAGGAGGTGTTTAGGGGTTATCCTTTGGTTCAATTTTGGGATTAGCGAATATATTATGAGATTATCTATCCCACTTCTTATATGAAATAAATAATATTATTATTTTAATATTAAAATTATCTCGATATTAATTAATACCTACAATAAAATATAAAATAAGTATAATATCAAATTTTATACTGAAATTAATATCCTTATCTCGGTAACCAAATGATCCTAACTGTACAATATTTGTTTAACTTGCAGTACAGTTTAAATGGTGATTCTTTATTTGTGATTTGCACTCTAAATTGGTTTGCTTTGAGTAACTAAGAAGTTGGAGGTTTTCTTTTCCAAAAAAAAAAATACATTTTTGAAGGTTATATGAACATTTAGATATTTGTATAGCACTGCAATTTAAAAATAACTTGTTTAAGTTATACACACAATATATCAACTTCATTTTAGTTTGCTAAATCCCCAACTTTAGATCTATATTTGAAAACTTTAGGCAGATGATTCTCAACTTCGATCTCACAAATCTAAAATTATTTTTTTAATAGTTACTTAGTATTTTATAAACTTCGACTATTCTATAAGTAGAATCCTAAATACGGCTAGTTGTGCACTTGTTAAAACAGGAAAAATTAGCCAAAAAATTATACAAGCCTACTATTTGGGCGCCCCCATTTAACCTATACTTATTTTTTATTTTATTTTTAACTTGTACCCACTGTTTAAGCAACTTTAGATATTTTTCTCCTCTTTCTTCTTCTTCTTCTTCTTCTTCTTCTTCTTCTTCTTCTTCACAATCATTTTATATGGTGTTTGTGAACATATTTTAAGGTAGTTTATGATATTTTACAGTGGTGAGCTGTTGTGACACTTTATTTTTTACTATTGTTTAGGGTTTCTTCTTTTTCTTTTGTTTTATTGCAAAATGGGTTCGTTATATTTATTATTGTTTTGACAAATTGATAATTAGGGCTTGTCCTTGATGATATTTGGAGGTTATGCTTCAAATTTGAGCTCATTTGGAGTAGGTTTAGGTATTAAATCGTATATTGGATTGTTAAAATTCGAAAAATAAATTTTTGTTCCCTGGGCAATTTGCACTTCAGGCCTATTTGGCCTTAAGTGCATCAAAACGTTTGTTGCACTTTAGACATTTTGGCCTCAAGTACATCTGAAGTGCAATTTTTCACTTCAGACTTATTAACCTTAAGTGGATGAAACTATTGGTTGCATTTTAGACCTGCCTTAAGTGCATCTGAAGTGCAATTTTTTACTTCAGACTTATTGGCCTTAAGTGTAGGAAAAACGTTTGTTGCACTTTAGACATTTTGGCCTCAAGTACATCTGAAGTGCAATTTTTTACTTCAGACTTATTGGCCTTAAGTGTAGGAAAAACGTTTGTTGCACTTCAAACCTTTTGGCCTTAAAGGCACCTGAAGTGTAATTTTTCGCTTCACACTTATTGGCCTTAAGTGCATAAACCATTGGTTGCACTTCAAACCTATTTGACCTTAAGTGCATCTGAAGTGTAATTTTTTCACTTCAGACTAATTTTTTTTAAACTTCAGACCCGATAAGTCTGAAACTGATCGTAAAGTGAGTAGGCTTGCAATTTTTTTTTTGACATAACTGCTTTTTGGACTAGCTATTAGATTATATCAGTATTTGAAATGTAATGAGATAGTTAGTATTTGGGCGAAGTGCATCAATAGCCACGTTTAAGCCTGCTATTTAAAATATATTTGAAGATTAGCTAATTTATCCAAACTTCATGACTAAGTATTCTGAATTTTTGAGCTGCTAATTTGAAATTCAGGACTTTGTGTCCTAAATTCTTGAACTGCTAATTTGAAATTCAGGACTAAGTATCCTGAACTTCTAAGCTTCTAATTTGAAATTCATGATTAAGTGTCCTGAATTTTCGAAATGCTAATTTAAAATTTCAGGACATAAGATTCAAATTTTTGGACGCAATTTTCGAACTTTAGGACGCGTTGTCCTGAAGTTTGAACCTTGGGGTTTAATCTTCAGGACACTGTATCCTGAAGTTTGAGCGAATTGGCTAATCTTTAAATATATTGTAAGTTGTGTATTTTAAACATCATGCTTAAAAGTGGCTACCTGATTCCATTTTCATTCAGTATTTTCCCATTACGTTTTAAATAGTGTCTAAACTTTAGTGAAAATAGCACCGACTAGCCAGTTTTCGGACTAGTAATTGAAAAATAGCCGGCGTTTGCAAAATTATTAAAAAATAACCATTATTTTGCTGAAACACTGGAAAGTTCTAGTATAATATGCTGGATTATGGAGCTTCTCCGTATAAACTTCCAGCATATTATGTTAGAACTCCATCACACGAAAAGTTTCAGCATAATATGTTGGACATTGGAGTTTCTATGTATAAACTTACAGCATATTATGTTGGAAGTCTAGCACATTATAAAATGTATCACATTATGCTGAAATCTCATATGTAAAAAATTCAAACTCCGACATATAATGCTGTAATTTGTATTTTTATTCAAATTTTATTTTTATATGAAAAAATGACTAAATTTCAATTATTTTTGAAACAACCATTTTTTTCAAAATTGACCCCAAGTATTAAAGTTGACTCGAGAAAAGAAAAAAAAAACTATTGAAGTTGACCAGTAACCCAAGCCGGATAACCGGATCGCAAAGACTCGGAATCGGCAATTATTAATTAATCAAACCAACCTATTCAGCTCGTTAAAGCTTTCTCATTGGCGTGCATTCATCACCTATCTCCCCTCCCTTAATTCCTAAGAAAGAAACAATTTAAACACACAGACAAAAAAGGTAAGCAGCAAATTAATTATAAATAGTGTAGAAAAGAACACAAATTCTCAAAGGAGAGTTTTTTCTTGACATTTTTTGGGGTTTTGAATTTTCCCCTACATAAAAAGATTTGGGGATTTTCTCAAATTTTTGGGTTTCAATTAGAGAATTCAAAGTGGGTTTTGAGTTCAAAGAATATATATAGACTCATGACATCAACAACTTTGAGGAGAAGGCTACATCATGGGGATGTTGGTGGCAAAAAGAATGAGCAGTTTGATTCTTTGGGCTCTGATGATGGTTTGAACGAGCCTTTACTTGGGTACAATAAATATGATGACAGTGATCAGGTAATTTCTGGGGTTAATTTGTAATATTATTTGTGTTTTATAGGCTATTTATTGATAATCTTTAGAATTATCTTGCTAAAGTTTTGCCTTTTGGGAATGTTCCTGCTTTATTTTATGATAAGTTTTGTGGGTTGCAACTAATTTTGTTTTTAATAGGGTTTTTGATTATACTCTTCTTTGAATTATGTTGCTGAAACTTTCTCCTTTTTTTTTTGGAGTATTTGTGCCCTATTTTGTGATTAGTTTTGCGGGTTTCAATTAATTTTGCCTTTTATAGGCTTTTGTTGATAATCTTTTGAGTTATGTTGCTAAAAGTTTCCCTTTTTGGGATTTTGTGCTTTGGTAGAGAAAAATTGGATTAGATTGTGAAATGGGAATTCTTTATATTATAGGTATGTACACTTGAAGATGTGTTGGATGAAGGGCGAAGGCAGGAACGTCTGCACTGGACACTGCTATTTTCTCATTTGATTTCTCAATGGGCACAATGGTTAGGTGTGATTTCATTTGTTTGTGATTTTGATGTTATGCTCTTTGTGTATTTTGCGCAATGCAATTACTTGCCCACATATGTAGTTGAATTATCCGTAGAGCATGACTATTGACTACATGGGTAGTGTTATCCTCCTGTTGAATTAGTTAACCATTTTCTCTCCAATAATGATTTAGTTAATCCTTTGTTCTGGAGATAAAGTGGACCATTTTCTAGATGGAAATGTTCTTCACTTCCACTTGATACCTATTGTCTTGCTTTGCGTAAGTGCATTTGGAGACTTTAGGAGTTAGTAGTCATCACTAGTCAGGTCTCTCTGGTGAAATATACCATTACTGTATCCAACGTAAAGACTTTCAGCTTGTGTTTGCAAAATGCAAGCCTAAATTTGTCTATTCTGCCATCAGAAAGTGAAACAATTTTGAGTTCCTTTCAGCTTGTATTTGCAAAATGCAAGCCTAAATTTGTCTATTCTGCCATCAGAAAGTGAAACAATTTTGAGTTCCTTTCAGCTTGTATTTGCAAAATGCAAGCCTAAATTTGTCTATTCTGCCATCAGAAAGTGAAACAATTTTGAGTTCCACGTTAGTATATTCAGGTGTTTGGTATTCCTATATGGGAGCCGTATTGACAACGTACCATACTATGTACTATTTACTACCTAAGGCATCATAGTAATACTGTGGATAGACACCACCATTATACTACAACAACAACATACCCAGTATTATCCCACACTGTGGGGGTCTTGGGAGGGTAGTGTGTGGTACGCAGACCTTACCTCTACCTTGTGAGGATAGATAGGCTGTTTCCAATAGACCCCCGACTCAGGAAAGCATATGCACTACATTAATGAAAATATAGATAAGAAGGGACAATACCAAAAATCATATAAAAGCAGAATAAAAACAACAAGATAGTAAGATGATCAACAATAAAAGAAAACAACGGTTAGTCATAAAAACCTACTACCAACAGAAAGCGAGACTGCGTGCTAATACTACTGTTATGAATACTCTAGACTACCTACTCTACTACCCTAATCCTCGACCTCCATACCTTCCTATCAAGTGTCATGTCCTCGGTCAGCTGAAGCTGCACCATGTCTTGCCTAATCACCTCTCTCCACCTCTTCTTTGGTCTACCTCTACCTCTCCGTATTCCCTCCATTGTCAACCTCTCACACCTCCTCACAGGAGCGTCTGTGCTCCTCCTTCTCACATGACCAAACCATCTAATCCACGCTTCCCGCATCTTGTCCTCAATAGGGGCCACACCCACCTTGTCGCGAATAACCTCATTTCTGATCCTATCTAACCTGGTGTGCCCACACATCCATCTCAACATACCCATCTCTGCTACTTTCATCTTCTGGACATGAGCGATCTTGACTGGCCAACACTCAGCCTCATACAACATCGTTGGTCTGACCACCACTCTGTAGAACTTACCCTTAAGTTTCGGTGGCACCTTCTTGTCACACAAAACACCGGAAGCGAGTCTCCATTTCATCCATCCCGCCCCAATACGATGTGTGACATCTTCATCAATTTCCCCATCCCCTGAATAATAGACTCAAGGTACTTAAAATTTCCTCTCCAAGGGGTGACCAGCGAGTCCAGCCTCACCTCCCCACAGACACCACCATTATAAAAAAAAATGTTGGTAGTTCTTAAATCTCTGAGCTAGACCTTAACATGAATTGTATACCACAGAGAAATGAAACGGTTGATATTTTAAGTCTAACGGCAACCAATCCACCTTTGAAACCAGAAAATCCATTTCAAGGTAGAGAGTTTCAAATACACGTTGAAGGATCAGAGATGCAATTTTGTTTATTTCCTTCCATCTTCCTTGCAAGGACCTGGTGCTAGTTGGGCTCCACATAGAGACAGTGTCCCTGACTAGCAATGGGATTGAGGCATACTAGTAGTTGATGTTGTTGCAGCATTAGTTTTATTATGCAGTTGGTAAAGCCTTTTCTTGATACCCTTGTCCTCTAAAATGTATTTGACCTTTCATTAACTAGATTCCATCTCATTTTCCTTCTAGATAGTGTCATCTAGGCCAATCCTCTTGCCTAATCTAGTGAGATTTCTTGGTATAGTTCTTTCTCTGAAACTACTTTGCATGCCTTCTCATTCTCTCGAGGCATTCTCAGAAGTCTAAAATTGTTGTTATTCGTTTAGTATAGATCAATAGATAACGTAAGGTGTTGAGTAGCTGTCAAGCGAGTCCAACAAAAGCCAAAATTATGAGTTTGATTCTAGAATCAAGCATTTTTTTAGGTTGCAGGGAAGTATGGTCGCAAGGCTTAAGTTTAAAGAAATTGATGGAAGGGCACCACCACGATTGGAGCCTGTGGCTTAATTTAACCCATCATGGGGAAACTTACTAGGTCTAGAAATAGTAGAGCAATTTGTATTGTTCTAATCCCAACTAGCTTGGTGTTGAGACGTAGTTGCAGTAGTAAATAACATGTTGAGGGTTTTATTGACTAATATGAGATATGGCGTTGAGATGATTGCCTTTTACTACTTGAAATACAGGGCAGTCACAACATTATAATATGTTTATTTATTTTTTCCTTCCTCATGGATTGATGATCAATGCTAAATGAGTAGAACAAGAAGCATCATGTGAGAGGTTAGAGTGGGAGAAGACACAATGAAGAAGTGGAATGGTGCATCAAGCAGTAAAAATAGGTGGACAATTAGACCCTTTTGTTACTTTTGGTATCTTGTTAGCAATCCTACGTTAAGAAAAGATTCAGGGGCCATAGGGAAATGGAAAAAGGTAAGAGGCCAATGTAGGGGGGTATGTAGTTTTCTTGAGGTGGAAGAAAGCAAGGATAGTAGGCTTGTGAAAAGCCTTTCTCTAAGTTTTAGCATTTTCGCTCTTTCTCTACATGCCAAACCTCAAAAGGAAGATAGGCTTATGAGGATTCTGTTCTATGCTGTTTCCCATATGTTTTTCTTTGTTTTATTCAACTAAATGCAATTCCCCATACCCAACGCGGTATTGGCCCAGAAGAAGGAAATACTTCTGATGGAATATAATTCAAGAAAGGTGAAATATAGCATCTAATATCAACCGAGAAAATGTTATAAAACATATGTAAGACTAATATCTTAGTCAACCTTGGACTTGATATTCTTGTCCTTGCAAGGGTCCAACTCAACGGAATTATCCTTTTTGGATAAGCTAAATGGAATTAAATTAACTAGGCCTCAAAAGTATTTCGGAGGCAATATTGTATAATTAAATCCTAAGAATATGGAATCTTAAGCATGAATATCATGCTACAGTGCAGCAACCAGTAGCCTATTTATCGGGGCCCATTCATCGCAATGTCATAATCAAGTACATTAACTATTCTGGGTACACTTCATTACTTTCTAGAGTGTATTGCTTGTTTTTCTTGCCAAGTTTGCCTTACTCTTAGAGCATCTATCTGTCTTGTTGTATCAGCAACTATTTATTTATGCATATTGAATTAGAAAATTAAAATCATCGGCAAATATCTTCTTTTTTTTCAATTTTTTATGGCTTCAACATTTCTGATTCATTCTCCATTGATCTTGCAGCAAATATTGTCTTTGTGTCTGGGTCACTTCTTGGCCGGATTTTTCCTTTTGCCTCAGCAACTCAAGCTGGATCAACAGCAAATCTTTTACCTCCTTTACTTAGCCCTTTACAGGTATTACATGAGGATTTAAAGAGCAAAATCTATGACTTCGCCCACCTGTTGTTTGCAGATGTATGATATTAACTTTCTTTGCTAAGTGTACATAACAAAAAATATAATGCATAATTTGGAAATTTATCGCCCCCGGGGCCTAGCTCAAGTGGCAAAGGGTGGTGGATTTGTGTCTTAGGTCACAGGTTCAAGCC